CACGTTTACGTATATACGAAAGGGTCGTTCGCGCATGAGACGACGGAGATATAGTCAAGCCTTCTCTTGACAGGTATAACATTTCGAATTGTTATAAAGACCTCTGGCAATATATCTCACAATGTTCTTTTCTTTCATCAATGTATCGTACCTCTCAACAGATCTGTGATACAGAATTCATATCCCCCCCGCTATGTAGTTTGCTTGCTTGCTATTAGTGTTAGGTTGGTCGATGAGCTTCCCGCCATACTAGACGATGTGTCCTAAGCAGAGCCATTAAAGCTCTTTGCACCGCGTCAGTATATAGAAGGTTAGAGAAAATAGCAAGACGAGCACTAATCCGCGGTGGAGCCGGAAGTGATGAACGCGGTTTGTGTAAGAGGGTCGTCTGCAACTTCACTTGAAAGAACATATGGAATGATTTACCTATTTGCGTACTCCGAATGCCGCTGCGGAATCGAGAAACGTGGTCTAGTTTTGTATACAGCCTGTCAGAAACGCTCTGCTGCATATATAAACAGCGATGCCCGAAGAAATGGTGATACTGAAGTTTTGGTGATTCAGTAGAATGCTGCCGGCGAGATGAGTAGTTTAGGTCAATGACGATATCTTCAGGCTGGCCGGATACGCCCACCCTACAAGTAGGATTTAGAGGAGACGAGAGTGTTCCAGCTACTAATTTATACCTCTAAAGTCTAAATCGACTAAGCCGATGAAGTGACTAAGCACACAGTTGTCAGTTGTTCATGGCAGTCATTGTGGTGCTAGTCAAGACGTTAATAGGTACGAAGGCTCCTACGTCTAGCCAACGTTGACAAGATTATTCACTTTGTTCAATGGCCTAGATGGTTCGGTGACAGTCACAATCTTACTGTATCCGTGTTTATGGCTTGTTTATTGGCCTATTGTTCTACGCTAGAAGATGGACATTAACCATGCCTTTCTCTCTAGACTTGATGAAGTCAGAATGAAACCCCTTAAAGATGTAACGCTATGACATGGGATCGCAGTCCTCCTCCGGATCTCCCCATCTAAACCGGCCGCCCGGACGCCGGTTAATGCAAAAGAAGAAGTATACAGAAACGGCAAAGAAACAAGCGCCTCAAATAAATTGCAATGCAGGGTTCCAGCTTTCTCAAACCTCCACTGGAGTACCGTAACCCGAGTCTCGCTTTTGCGTGACATCCTCAGCCCCGTGCTCGGCCTTGGCCCCCGAGACCACGACCGGCTCCTCCGCCGTCTTCTCTTCCGAACCCTTGGCGGGGGCCTCCGATTCCGAGCCGGAGCCAGAATCCGAGTCGGAAGAAGACGAATCAGAAGAAGCCGCCTCCTTCTTCTTGTTCCGCTTACTCTTCTTCTCCGCCTTGCGCTTCTTCTCCCTCTCCTCCTTACGCTTCTCCTTGGCCTCCTTCTCCTTCTCCTCAGCCTCCTCCTTGCGCTTCTTCTCCTCCTCTTCTTTCTGCTTGGCCTCGGCCGCCCGCTTCTCCTCGGCGGCCTTGAGCTCCTTTTCCTTCTTCTCCTTGCGCGTCTCCGTCACCCACTCCGCCGCGCCCGCGACCGCGGCCTCGGCGCTGCGCTTGTGCTTCATGAGGTACCCCTGAATCTCGGCGGGGCTGAACTCGTGCGCGGGGATGCGGGCGACAAAAGTCTCGGAGAGGGCCTCGACAGCGGCGACAATTTCTGCGGTGCGGGCGGCGGCTTCCTCGGCAAGCTTTTTCTTCTTCTCGTCGTCGTCGTCCTCAAGAGTGTCACCGACCAGTTGCTTGTGCTCCTGGAGGGGTTGAGTGGCAATGTCCTCGTCGCCCTCGAGAGGTGCGTAGATGGCACGGAAGATGGCACCAATGATTTCGCCGTCGGCCAAGGTGAAATTTACAATCTGGTCGACGCGGCCGGGGCGGATGAGGGCCTTGTCGAGCTTCTCGACGTGGTTGGTGGTCATTATCAGAACGCGGCCCTCCTGGCTGGCGACGCCGTCGAGGATGTTGAGCAGGCCGGACAGAGAGAGGCGGCCGCTGGTGTTGTTGGCGCCGTTGCCCAAGGTCAGCTGGCCGGGCACCATGTCGCCTCCGTCCTTGGCGTCCGCGGCATCGTTGCCAGTCCCAGTACCGTTCTCGCGGGTGTGCGTCAGGCCAGCGGTGTCAATGTCCTCCAGAAGAACCACGCACCGCCGGGGCAGCTCGGCAAAGAGGGTGGCCAGGTTCTCCTCGTTGGCTGAGATGGAGCTCAGGCTCACAATGTAGATGCGCATCTTGAAGAAACCGGCCAGGGCGAGCGAGAGCGAGGACTTGCCGGTGCCGGGGGGACCCGTCAGGAGGTACCCCCGGCGCCAGGGGATGCCGCGGTTGGAGTACCACTTGCGGGTTACGGGGGAGAGGTAGTCGGCGACGTCGTCGACGAGCTCCTTCTTGGTCTTCTCGTTGAGGATGACGGTCGAGAAGGGTCGGGAGGTGCGGGCCATGCACCGCTGCCACGTAGGCTCCGTGGTGCCGGCGCGGGTGCTGCCGCGGTAGATCATTGTCTTTTGCGAGTCCTTCTTGAGGTACTCTGCGCGGGCCTCCTGAAGGAGCTCCTTGGGGACCCAGGGGTTGCGGCCGAAGCACGAGAGGCTAATCTCCTCGCGCTCGCTGACCACGAGGTAGGAGGCCTGCTCGCGGTTCTGGCTGCGCTTGAAGAGGAGCAGGTGACCGCGGTACCAGAACGAGTGGCTGCCGAAGCTGGGGGTGTAGGCGAGGGGCTTCTTCTTCTGGCCCGAGATCTCGACGAGGCCGCCGTCGGAGGACTCGTCCGACTCCTCCTCTTCGTCGTCCCAGCGCCAGAGGAACCAGGAACGGGAGCTCAGGTTGGTGTTGACAACGAAACGCCGCGAGTTCTTGGCAAACTTTTGGGCGGCGACCCAGGACATGAGGATGTTGTAGATCTCGTCGTCGGTGCGGACTTCGACTGTCGACATGAGGTGCTTCTCGACCTTTTCCCAGAGGTACTCGCTAAAGTACCTCCAGGCAAAGGTGGCGCCGCCGCAGAGGATCACTAGAGGGATGTAGACATTCAGGTCGATTCCGAGGTACTTTTGGAAGGCTGTCGTGAAGACGCTGAAGCCTGGGAAGAAGAAGTCCAGCAGTGCCAGTTGGGGAGGAGGCTGAGCTATGCTGGATGAGGTGTTGATGGGGTCGGCGTAGCCGGTATCTGTGATTGTGTCCATTGTCCGCAGAAGCTGAGAATATGAGGCCAGCTCGAGGGGAAACAATATGAGTCTATGTTATACAATCGGTCTGGTTGGGTTGAGATATCTCGTTGATAGTAGGAGGTAAGACGGTTGAGATGCCTCCTCTTATATATTGTGGAGCAGGAAGACAAGGAGATGTCGAACTATTGAAGTGTGTGAAATCTCTAAATCTTGAATGTGCGAGACACTTGCTATTTTATATAGTCGAACTACAGAAGAAGATGCACACCCATTCCCTTGGGAGGCAACCACGTCAACGAGGCGTTCGTGATCACAAGTCTAGCCAGTTAGGCAGGGGTTTCTGCAACCACCACATGCAATATGCGGGCAAGTTTGCCGGAACACATCACACACCAATTGGCATAGCCGGCCCAGTAGATCCAGGTCGTCAGCACATGGGAATTGAGATGGGTCGCTGAGGCCGCCTGTAACAGAGAAGGCGTGAAAAGCATGGTTTGAGTCACTCCGGCTGCGCTAGGATAGCGGTGAGGTAGGGAAAGTCGTAAAAACTAAGTCCTGTTATAACCTTGAGGGGCATTTTTTCTGGGGAACAAGGACTTAGGACTTGACGCTAAATGCTAGGCAACATTTGCTGCCTGCGGCTAAGGACTCTTGCGACTTGTAAGGCTGAGTGAGGAACATGGAACCTGGTCTGGGGAAGAAGCTGCCGGGCTCTCTTGGATGGCCGGAAATGCGCGGCCCAAGGTCTAAGGTGGATATGGGCGAGCCACTTAGCTTTCTGGAATGAAATCTGGGTTAAGTAAGACAGCTACGTTGTTGTTTCTATGCAGTCATCAAAAGTATGGGGATAGATGAGTGGTTCAAGTGAAGGTGGTCCTCGTGAGCCAATGGGGACAGAAGTGTAGGAGTGAGACCTGTGTCTACGACAAGACGAATTCGCTTGAATTGGGTTAACCAGACGTTGATTGGCTTGCGAAACGAGCCTTCCACAATGATACCTACCTAGTACCATGCTGCGGTAGCTTTCCTGCACGACAGATCAGAAGTGGCGGAGGCCGAGGGTTGTTTCTTCTATATCCAAGTACTGCAGTTTACGATCTGCCAACTGAGGAAAAGGATAATATCCACTATCCAGAATGCTACTCCATTGCGGCTGAGAAGCAATTGCTGCACAAGTTGCATAGTCGGAGATGCAGGATCAAGACAACTTGGACGGGGTGCACCGTGAAATGCGGGATTGAGGCCAACTGCGAAGTCTGCGTGTGGCTGTGGTCCAGACCTCCAAAGAGCCGAGGGACAGCGCAGACGCGCTCAGCCACACTCGAGCTTTAGCTACAGCGGCTTCCCCGAATGACGCAGGACCGGTAGATATCCGCATCGAGGCCGTTTTCCTCACCTTTAGTTCCGTCTGCCGGTAATATAATTCATCGGGAGTTTGCTTAAGATGACATCACTGCAGGCATGTCGCCGTTGTGAAAACTCCAATTTAAGCTGTGATCAATGATCCATTTTGTACGTCAGTCTCGATTCTCACGGGCCGCCAATGGTCTCGACTCTGGGAATTGCTCCAATTGAGGTATATCAAGATGCACGTCAATATGGGGTTAGACAAAAAGAGCAGATCGTAAGCAGAGTCGCCGCCAATTGGGCGTGGGCATTTGAAGCAATGTTCTGGCCAAGTGAATAAACACGTCAATATTATAATCTTATTCTCCCGTGATATCATCAATAGTAAAGCAAGATACAGACATCATGATTCATTATACGCCCTCCCCAATTTCCTTGAAGGTTCTGTTCTCTCCCTTCGAAAAATGTTCTGGGTACAATCGGAGGGGAAGGGGAGCCTCGTAGTTTGTATGTGTGTGAGTGTGTTTTTGTTGTCGAACGCCAACATCGATCATTAATCGAAGCCCAGAAAATAAAAAGGAACAAACCGCCTGCCCGTATGTCCGTACAATAATCGTGACCAAGTAAGAAAGAACACACAGTCTCTCGGAGACTCAGAGACTAGGGACAACAGACTCAATCTGCCCAATCGTCGTATTTGCCAGGGTTGCCAGGGAAGTGAGGACCACCACCGCCTCCGGCATTAAGATCCACAAACCCGGGATCACCACCCCCACCGCCGCCGAAGGCTGCCGCGGGAGGAGGCTGGTGATACCCCGGATCCACATCGAAAAAGGCAGGCTCATCATCGTACATGGGAAAGCCAGGTCCGGGAGCCATACCGGGTGGAGGCGGAGGCGGCGGGTGGTTGAACGGAGGAGGGGGAGGGGGAGGAGGCTGATACGACACCGGCGGCACTGGGAACCGATGCCGGCCTCCGCCCGAACCTCGCTGCTCCCTCCGGAGCCGACCGCTCGATCGGCTACTAGAGCGGGAGGCGATCTCGGAGATGCTGTCGTCCCATTTGGGACTGACCCAGGCGTAGGAAATATACGACGCGTCGCTGTACACGCTGCCGCCGCCGTCGTCGTAGTCCCAGTCCTCTTCGTAGTCGCAGACTTTAGTTTTTCGCAGGGCCAATTGCTTTCCGGGGGGAGCGCCCGTCGTCCACTTCATAAAGGAGACGGTCCAGTGATCGCTCTTGATGTTGGAGTGGGATATCTGGGACGACCTGGACTTTTTGGAACCGCCCGAGCTAGAGGATGATCGGGAGGACGACCGGGAGGAGCTCCCGGATGAGTAACTCGATACGGAGGCTGCGTCGTCAAAGCGGTGGTGCTGATGTTGGTGAGCCATGGCTGATGTGCGTTTTGGGAACGATGAGTAAAACTGAATTGGGTTGTTTGAGCGAATGGGTTGCGAGAAGCAGCAAGCAACAGAAGCAGCAGCAACAAGCTTTGCGTATAGAGAGATGCGAAGAGATGAAGGAATACCCCTGGTATGACACAGTAGAACTTGGGAACAAGTTGCCTGAGCCGGTACCCTTACTGGTCAAGTACGCAGCAGGAGAGTTTTGCTTCACCACCGAAGAAGAGACGGAGCAGACAACGACAAGCGAGCTTTGCACAGACAGTCGTCCGGGATGGGGCTTGATCAAATACTTATTGCACTCGGCAACGGGGGCATTGCAGGCAGCGTCGGTTGAGCAATGCCTACAGAGGTCGTGAAGGAAGCTACCTACATGTTTGGTCAGCGTTGCTCGCCTCGTCTCATTGCTAGTGTCTGGAGCAAGAGAGCAATGGCTGCATGCAAGCTCGAGCTCATGCATGATGCAAAGTGCAAAGGCAAGGGGACTGGACCGTAAATTGCATGTCTCGTCCCTTTCACATTGGCAGCCAAGACGAAGGGAAAAAAGTACCCCTTCACCCTATCGCCAAACACCCAGTACCGGTAGTGTCCGAGTATCAACATAGGAAGAAGGCTATGAGATGGCGTCTCATGCGGGGTAGTAGGTATGTACCTTCAACCCTCACAGCCCACCTGGTCACCCTCCTTGGGATGCAGAAAGAAGCACTTCTTCCTCCGCCCTGCTTCCACGGCAGCCCTGCACGCACACATCTAACCCATTCACCGTGTTTCACGCCGATCTTTCGAGACAACTCAAAGCGCACCGAAAAGAAACCACGTTCCGAGTTCTGGTGGCACCAGAATTGCCTACCCGTACTTCAGGCAAGGCAGCTATCCATTGCCGAGTTGCACAACTCAGCGCATGTGCGAGACCAGATGCCCACTCAATGGTGCAAGGGGATGACAGAACCGAACGAGAGAACGAGAAAGCGTAAAAGAAAAAGTACGGGTTACATGAGGGGGGAAAGAAACGGATGATCTGCCCTACTCACTGCCAGTCCGCGATTGGAACATTTGGAGTCACACCACTGCAACTAATACGATGCAATACCAGACTCAGCAGCTAGAGTGACATCAATCGAGCTTGTTGCCGGTCAAGTTGTTGGCTTCGAGAGCGATCTAGGCCAAGTAGCACGTTGCCTATCGAGAAGAATGCAATCCTACGGTCATCAACTCGACTGCCGTTGACCAGAACCAACATCTATTGGGATATCCGGCCATGTGGAGTAGAAAATGAGGCTGCAAATGCAGAAGAAAGGAAGAACAGGCAACCAACGAAATCTGTCCGCATCAGGCGACCCCTGGGACCAACAACGTGAAGCACTTGCAGCTGTTGCTCACCAGGGGGTTGAGGAGGGGGATGACTGGATGAAAATGGGGCTGCTCATCGAGTGATCAGAGCCACTCGGCCGCACATATCTCTTAACGTGCAGTAGCCGCGAACCACCACAACCATACAAAAGAGGTCATAGCAACCCTTTCTCTGTCGCCTCGATCTGCGTAGGAATGCGAATGCAGACGCCTAGTTCGCAGGTAGTCAACTGCGGCCAGTTTTGGGACTGGTCGCTTTCTTCTTCTAAGCAGGCTAGCTGAAAGGCATCGCCATCCTTGAACTCTAGCTGATGGATAGGATCGTTCGAAAAAGGTGCCGTCTTGGTGAGGAGATAACACCGAAATCATGGGACGAGCACGGAGGGAGATGCGACCTGTAGCATAGCCGAAGCTACAACTATCCGTCTAAAGCAAGAGGAGACCACCGATGGCGTTGACCACTGCTGAGCGTACCCGGCGACAAATCCTACGCTGGTGTGGGCTGAAGAGCTCCGGGCGGTCGCAGCGGGCGGGCCAGTGGCTGCTTACATGGTCCGGGGTCGGCTCCGAGAGACAGATGATGGGATGATGCATTCGTATGCGGGTGCCAGGACTGATCAGACGCAGGCTGGTAGGCATCCATCTCGCAGTATGCCGGAGTTTTTTGCGACTTCGACTCTGACTCTGTGCCTGCATGGGCGCCTCACCTGTTAGTCGCAAGAGCTGCACACCGAAAGTTGCCGCAAGACGTAACTGGTCCAGCCAAGAACGGCGATTGAGTGAGAAAGGCAGCGTTGAAAAGGGTCGAGCGTCTGAAGTGCTGGTTGATTGGAAAGTCCGCGGGCTTGGTTATCTTGGCTTGCAAATTGCTCGAAGCCGCATAGTCCAACAGGTACAAGTAACTAGAAGCAGCAAAGGAGTAACTATCGCGAACGGGGATACGCCCTTTGGCGATGCTGAGGGTGACGATGAAGAAGACGCGCATGCTCGTGGGATGTTCGTCAACTCGGATAAATTATAGTTGTCGATGGATGTGATGTAGTATCTGTAATCTAGGATATAAGCGGCGATAGACAACTGTCCCGGGACTGCACTTGTATGTCTCTTGTTGTGGACACAGGGCTGGCCGTTCTGAACGTTGTATACGCCGCAACGCGAATACGACACGGACATTAAGTGATAGTAGAGGAGACCAAGGGCGAAGGGACCAACTGTGTCACGGAAGTCGAGGTGAAGTCATCAAGCATCCCGGGTGACGGGGAAGTTGGGAGCTTTACGTTGGCAAGGAACCGTATCCACAATCCGCAAGCCAAGGGCTTGAAGAGGCGCCCACGGCACATGGTCGCCGTCAGCGGCGTCGGTCGAGACCAGAAATAGTGGCCCTAGTATCCATAATCGTGAGTAATACAGCGACACAGAGGAAAGCTCTGGTAGCAAGAGGCCAAGTGGTTAAAAGACTCTGCCGCCGTTGGTCGATAAAGATATCGTAGCTACTTCGGAGCACAAATAATCAATAATAATCAATATCTGCCTGGTACCCGCAGTTTCTCAGTGGCAATAGAAAAGTGCGAGTCAGCGTTGCAAACTGATGGGTCACTCAGTGTCCGGGACAGATTGACAAGACGGGGTTGCTGACACGGCTATGCCTGACAAGAAATGCTGAGATCAACAGACTAGTGTAAACAGGCAAACAACTTAAACAAGGTTCTGAGGGGAAGGAATACCTGGGCCGGAGAAAAGGTAGGCTGCCAAGAGATGAAAGCAGTCGTAAGGGAACAACCATCGGCGACCGAAGTTCAGCGAGACGGGAAGCTTCGTCAGTGTCTTGAACTATTGACAAGTCGACTCTGACTTGCCTCGGACGCAAATGGTTTGGCCGGTTGCCTTTCCGGGGAAACTGAAATGTGTATCCCCGTTAGCAGAACCTTAATCCTTAATTCAGATAACGTGTCAGCGTGTCTTGTGTGACAGGGACAAAAGAGGCATTTGGAAAGGTAACTGTAGATCTAGCGACATTAGCTCATCTTACCTGAGCTGCTATCCAAGTAGCTTTCTCTACGGATACCTAGGTACTGCATCACAGAGAACCCTTCGTAGTGTAGAATCATTTGCCGCTAGCCGACATGCCCAGCGAGAGACAGCGGGAAGCATTTTGGCAGGCCGGGTTTCGGCGAGGTAAGGCGGTTGAATAAACAAGTGGATTCCGTACCTTATACTCGTGACAATCGGCGGTACACCATGTTGGGAAAGGAAACATACAGACTACGGTGGCTACCTCATGCCTTGAATAGCCATCGACGAGCTCAATACCGGTATAAGTGTCTTGGTAGGTACGTGGGAGTACCCTGTCAAGTGTCTGGCGCTGTGTCTGAGTGTGGCCGAGACAATCATGGAAAGAGCCTGGAGCCCCTTGAGATGTTCTGAATAAGAAGAAAAAGACCGGCGGAAAGAAGCACAGTCACTGAGGTGGGCCCCCATTGGACATTCCATTCTAGGCGCGGTACGTTCCCGGTTCGCAGCTGACCTAAGACACTCGGAGCGGTGGATCCGCTTTTAGCCAGTCAACAACGGGAAAGTCAAGACACCATGAGCTCTATCCGAATTCCTCAAATCTTGCTGCTATTTCTCTCCAGTCAACGTCAATGGCAATTGCTGTTTGATTTGCACCTGCAAATTGCGGACAGCCTTTACAAGGGCAGTATTGCTTATCTGCCAATTTCTGTCGTGGGCTTCCTTGCCTGCATAACGCTCTCTGCAGGCGCGGATGAGATTTACAGGGGACGGGGCCCACGGTCCACGGTCCACGGCGAAGAAAGTGACAGACGCTAAGCCCGATTCGCCCTCTGCCATAGTAATCCCGTCACTCTCGTACAAGAGGCTTTTCGGCCCAGGTCGTCTTTTTTCGGTCCCCACATGCCCTGTTGAATGTTCGCTTGGCGGAGAATGAGAGACCGCTTGGCCCGCAGCGCTTGAGCCGACTGGCATGACGCTAGTCTTGTTTCGGATCTAGCGCCAAGCTCTCGCGCCGGCAGCCAAACTGAGATCTACAAGCGTCCCTGCTTCCACTAATTCTTCACTTTTGACTCTTTGGCTCCGTTGACTGCAAGCCGGAACAAGTCCTTTTCTCGTGATTGAGAAGCGTGGGAGGCCAGTAGAGTGGCTGACAGGCTGGACCTAGGTGGGAGAAAACACCGCACAGTCAGACAGCGACCACACTGCCAAAACTGGCACCTCAAGTGACTGGGCGGGCGGCATTTGAGGCGGGAACCCCACTGTTTGCCAAACGTCTGAAACCCTGCTCTGCGACAGCATCTCTCCCAGTAGTACCAGTTTACTCCGAAGACTCGACTTGGTCTCGTCAGTCCATCTGAAGAACTTGAAGGATCGTTTGGTGTTGCTGACAGGACCGGCATTTGTTCACGACTTGATACAGAATCGCCCTGTTTCCCCCAGTCCATCACCAGGAGCAACTTGATGAAAGCGAGCTCGGAGATCCCCGTGGTCACCTTCTCGCATTCTGGGAGGGCTGGTCGGTGGATGGCCGAGCCCTAACGAGGTGATAATTTAGTTTTGGTACTCTACCGATATTTACAAGTCAAGAGAAACTTCAGCCATGGGACAGTAGAACTTTGGTTTCTGTTCGCGGTGTTCCGGGTAAATAGGTTCATCGCACAGGATCGCTCTGGGCAGAACATGTGGCATTGTTTCTGGAATGCCTGCTGTGAATCGGTGGCTGGCGTCTGTACGGATAGATGAAGAGGCAACCTGGAAGTAAAGTGTTTGGACTTCCCTTGACTGACAGTGTACAACAGAACCAGACAAAATCGCCATTACTGGTTGGTCAACAGGTCTCGACAACCTGTCTGTCGGCCGGCTCTGCAGATAAGGTGTGGACGATCCCAGTCCGCTCGTGGTACATTACTCCTTACGGGATTTGTGCTTGGGCGTGGGCGCTGTCACGCTGTGGGTGGGTGGGAAGAATGCCAGACAAGGAAGA